CATAGACTTTGTGTTAATTTTTATATAAATTATATATTTTTCGTTATAAATTAATATAGAGGATTGAATACGTTATATTAAAATAATTTTGGAATATTCAACTCAACGAGTCACATTGAAACATAAAGTATCACAACTACACTCTGACATTGTATATGTCAGAAAATTAATCGCTTTTGGGAAGAGTATGTAAGAACAAAATATTCAGGCTCACAGAATATAAAGATGTGTTCAGATCAGCGATTTAGAATTTTCAAGACGGGCATATACTTTGTACTTAATGGCACTAGAAAACAACAGAACCTGGATCAACTTGGGGAGTGGACTGTCAAAAAAAAAACACACACTTGCAACAAGTCGTACCATTGCGGCCCGGCATGGCCAGGTGGTTAGGGCGCTCAACTCGCAATCTGCGGGTCGCAGGTTCGAATCCCCGTCCCACCAAACATGCTCGTCCTTTCAGCCGCGGGGGCGTTATAATGTGACGTCAATCCCACTATTCGTTGGTACAAGAGTAGCCAAAGAGTTGGCGGTGGGTGGTGATGACTAGCTGCCTTTCCTCTAGTCTTACACTGCTAAATTAGGGACAGCTAGCGCTGATAGCCCTCGTGTAGCTTTGCGTGAAATTCACAGCAAACAAACAAACAAACAGTCGTACCATAGCCGTGGTAAGTGTGCCGTCTTGTAACAAACAGGTGACAATCCACGAACATAAAGCTCAATGGCTAAAGCCGTTCACGTGCTCCAGCCAACAGTACGCAGTATGATCAATAAAAGAAGGATCTGTGTCTGGAAAAGTGACACAAGTCACGTGAGCCACATGTTGCTTTCACGATATATCACTCAGTCATTGCATATCTCAAGTAGTTGGAAAAAATAACATTGTTGTTCATGCTATTCAAGTTGCCAGACGCAGGGCCTTTGTATTTCTGGACGATCGGACTGTTGAAACGAGCGCAGGAAAACCGTATTTCTCGTTCCCTAGATAACTTATGGTAAGCATTCAAAGTAGAGTGATAGAGTCGCTTGCAATGTCTGTTTATTGTCAAGATGCACGGTCGTCAGATAGAGCATGACGGGACGTGGTGACATGGACTTTGACAACGTGGTGAGGCTACGAAATCGTTTGAATATAACGTACTTAACCTCTGTATCATTAAATTTTATTTTCAGTGGAAATGAAAAGTGAAATAACGAAGAAATAATAACAGAATGCTCACCAAGAAATAAGAAATATTTTTATATTTCCTAACACATTCATTTATTCGTAAAGAATACACAAAAGTTATGATAATTTTGAACAGCTAAATGAAAGAGAGCATAATAACAAGGACCATATTTTAATTTTGACATAACTTTTGAAACAACAAGACCAGAGAAAGCGTCGCTCATAAAATAGAAACAAATAATGCTACGCCCCCGGTGAGCTAGCTATAAGTTTAAGAACTTACAACGTTAAAATCCAGGGCTCGATTCCCCGCAGTGGACTGAGCGCATATAGTCTACTATGTGGCTTTACGCTGAAATAAACAAGCAAAAAATAATGCTAAGGTACAAACGAAATGTGGAAGGTAAGATGGATGTCAGAATATTTTTGCAAAAAGAATTTAAATCGGATAGACAATGTGTCCATTACGCCCTATGGGCTCTACCTCGCCGATACTCCAGTTGTAAAACTATATTTTGTAGTTCCCACGTTGTAGTTTGTATCTTTGATTTATTTGTGTCTGTTTCACGTGCGTTGTTTTTTGCTCTGTCTACTGTATAGGTGTGTGTGTGTGTATGAGCGTTTTTGAACATGACTTTACGTATAATTATTTCTGCTTTTTTATTTGTTAAATTTCATAATTTATTGCTGTAAATTCTTTTAAAACTAATAATAAAAACAGGCAAAAAAAAAATCGCCCGCCACTTGTGTAGTTATTTGTACAAGTAAAACTTGGTAGTGACAATCCAACTCTCAAGGGCAAGAACAGGTGTGTGTGTGTGTGAGGGGGGGGGGGGGAGAGAACAAATAAAATAAACGACACACCACTTCCCAGCCAATTACATATTCTCTGAGGGTCACGCTTAAACTCTGTCACATACTTGGCATCTGAAGTCGTAAATTAAGGATTAACATTGATAAGTGGTCCGAAAGTAAAATGGGTTTCTATCGGGAACGATGTGTTAAATTTCTGCCCACCTCACCGTAAAGGATAGCGCCCTCTTACTCCCCACATAGCTTTTATGCCTATTTCTTCACATGTCGACCTCAATATAGTAATCTCCCAAGAATCTCTTCCCAAAATACTTTGCGGTTCTTGTATATCTATCACAGAACATATAGTCGGAGAAAAACAATTTGAAAATGAAGTTTTTTTGTTTCTTTGTTCTAAGCACAGTTACACCTCTTTCATGTAGTGTATACTATTCGATATCAAATTCAATAATTACATTGTGTTTTGTTCAAACGGTGGTCAACAGTTTTAATGACATACAGCATTTAGTAGATTGAAAAGTTCCATTATTACGTAGTGTTACACATACTTTGATAGCAGGTATTTTTTGATATTCTTGACAGCATTTTGAATTAGCTCCAAGTTTTGTCTTGGACTATCTACATTTAAGTACCGAATATGCCATTATAGTCTTACTCTTTGACAGGTTACGAGATTTTAATGTTGTGTTAAGCGTTTAGACTTATCACTGGTCAAATCTTCAGTATTTCCCGCAGTATGTCGCATAATTCAAGTACGCCCACTCAAAACCAAAGTTTAGAAGTTGTAAGTCAACCACACAGTTTATAATTCTCATTCAACCTTAATTATAATATGTTAGCCTTTAGTGAAATGGTAAAAATGGCGAAGCTAATGCTGCTAAAAATATGTTTGGATACGTTTCAATTATGTTATATTCCAAGCCTACCAGTAAAAATACAATATCTTAAACGATATTTCCATGCGCATGTATATTAAAATAATTTTTAGATTTAATTGAAATTGCAGTTTTAAAAAGTAGGAAGGAGTTTGAATGTATTTAAATATTAAACCTAATTGAGACAATCTTCTCATCAACTAATACTGATTGTAATGAGATTGTTAAGCCTAAAATGTTTGGCATTGTTTTCAAACCAGTAGTAGCAGCGGCCTTTATATAAAGACAGCTATTTTGATCCAGCTACAGGTAAAAGAACTTTGCGAATTATGATAATTACTAGATACTCTCGTTAAACGAAATTCTACTTGTGTACTGAAATAATATCGAGGATGTTGGTATTTTAATAGTAGTAATCATATCAATAGGAGAAGCAGTGCTAAACTATCATGGCTTACTTGTATGTTGTTGGCTTTTATATCATTGTTTATCACGTGCACAACTCGCGCTGCTAAAAGACTCGGAACTAGAACTAGATGTTCTATGAAAAGGTAAAGTAGACAGATACTTCGTGTGCTGTATAATGATATTTATCTTTCATTGTGTGATTCAGTAATGCTGTTCCTGCATTGATGGCATCAGTTCGTGTTTTTTACATTGATAGGTAGACAATTATCGTTGTGGTAATAATAGGCGCAGTTTAGTGTTTAGATAAGACTGCTTTCTAAGAATGGATATTGTTAACATGAGTAGAAAACTGAGTTGTAGCATAACCTGATGTTGAAAGAGAAAAACAAAACATATTCCTTAATAATAGGCCTAACTCTAATAATCACACTTTCAATCATTTGAGAAACGAATGTTATTAAATAGTTTAAAAAAGGAGTTTTAAGTAGAAGTGAACTTAATGATATTCATATTTATATATAGCTGCTGGTTTTGTTTTTTTTTTAGAAACGGAATCTAATGTAGTTAGCCATGACTTCTTTTCGTTAATTTAATTGGGTTATATTTGTCACTGTAAAGTCTTAATTCTCTATTCTTACATCATTGAATAACTTTGTTTGCTTAGGAAAAAAAATATATTTTGTAATTAGAAGCGAGAATTTCTTTAAATGGATGTATACCAGTCCCACTTTTCCGTCATTTAACTTTGCAATTTCTTTATTTTTCAAAGATTCAGTTTTTCATTTTCTCTTAATTAGGTTTATTCATAGGATTAATGGAAATAGTATAGTCAGAAACAAAAATTCGAACACGCTAAAAAAGAAGTAAAGTGAGCACATGTGCTCTCGAGATTTTTTAACGGACTTTAATTAGGAACTAGACGTCTCCGCCCCCTAGAGGCGTATCTTTTGACTAATGTACTCTCTTCATAAATCTTCATAGTTCTGCTTGTCTTGAGTCCAATAGGCCATGGTAAAGACTTTATTCCCGCCCAAACTCCCTCTCTGGATAGAATATCAATCCTTCTCAACCCCCTCTTTCTTCCTAAACAGTGAAAAAAAAAAGAAAAAGAGCATAAAGCTCCTAATAATGAACTCCCCTTTAAGCAAAGTGAACGAGGATAGTCATAGATCACTATTCTTCTTTATACCCCCAAATATATAAATGTATTCACGCCCAGTTATGTGCAATTAGTGCGTATTATAATGTATTTTAACTTTTAAGATTTGATTGAAAATATGTTGTGTTAGACGAATTCCTAATCACATAGTTACCGATTCATGTAACCTGTTTTGTATAACATGTAACATGTTTTTATATAATAATATAAATTTCACTGTCGGTGATAAACTTTCAGATTCGTGAGGTCAGAATAACAACGTATTGTTCTCAATCATGCCTAATGGAGGTTTGATTTTAGGGATGTTTTGTACACTAAAATATCGTCAAGTCATCATTATAGTTATGACATCCGACATCGAATTTAAAAATGTACATAAATCAGTCTGTTTTGGTTACTTAAGTACCGTGTATGGTCTTATTGAAAAAGTAAGAATCTCCAAGATTTATTTAAAGTAAAAAAAAAGGGGGGGGGGGGCATTATGAGATAGTTTCTAAGTATGGTATATATATATGTATATATATAAATCATAATATACACTTTTTTAGTTAATATCTTGTTTATTCTTCTATTGCAGTGGTTTTACTAGATACAACTTTGGAGAGTTCTCTTGACTGGACGAAATATCCCTACGGCCCCCAAGCAAGAACTCCAGGGGTAAACTTTCTTTTTCATTCTGTAAAACACGATACGAGTTTAAATTGAAACTAACATTATAATATTAGCAAATACATCTTAAGTCGATTAAATCTAACGTAGTAATCATATCCGTGCGATTGTTTCCTTACGATACTCTCTGTTATCGCTGAGATTAATAATTAATATTTTGTATTATTTACTTTAAGCAATTTTAGTTTTAGATTGTATGTAGGAAGAGTGGATTTTTTTTTTAAATTAACGAAAACGATTAGTTTTCTGTCTACTTACGGAACTGTCAAATAATTTTCGCTCTGAAAAATTGGAAGGACTGGAGTCACTTATTCACTTCAATTTGAATACAGATATTTATTTATTAGCCACCATCCCTCGAGTGTTTTCAAGGGCCGGAAGTGGCCGAATTGTTATTGGTGTGTTGGGCTGCAGATCGAAGGGTCCAGGTTCCACACCTTCAGCTATGAGCACCTTATAAAAGTGATAGTCAATCACATTATTTAGTACACAGCTCTTGTGGCGAGTGCTGTGTGGTTGCCCACACTCTGGTCAGTATTCAAAATAAGGAAAAGCTATATCCGAATCCTAGAGGTCTCTGACCTGGTTGTTTAGCCCACATCTGCGGTCCCGTTCAGAGTGGAGATTTCCCTTCCACTCACGTTGAAAGCAAATGCAATTTACATGAAGACTAACTTGATAAAGCAACAAAAGGATAACGCTAGGTATTGAATATTATCAACCGCATTAACTGTAGCATGTTAATTGGAATAAAATGTGTACTTGAGGAATGATGGGTGTTTAAGTCTATAGCATATTCTGTTTGTTTGTAGTTAAGCACAAAGCTACACAAAGGGTATAGAAACTCGGATTCTAGTGTTGTAAGTCCGCAGACATACCGCTGTGCCACTGGCGGGCAACTCATTCTGTATCAAAACACTGATTGTAATATGGAAATACGATTTTTATCGGAGACAATTTTATCACTAAAAACCGATTTACCTTCTCTGTAATTAGCACTTAGATGTCCTAGTTTCCTCTGTAATTAGCACTTTGATGTCCTAGTTTCCTCTGTAATTAGCACTTTGATGTCCTAGTTTCCTGTGTTGCTTGGTGTTGCTTTGTGGTCAGCGTGCCGGACTGTGAATCAGAGGATTCAGGGACCTGTTGTCGCAAACATTTGCTGCTTTCCCTCTAGCCTAGATTAAGGACGGCTGTGCACAGGAAAGTAGTCCTTGTGGAGTTTCGTGTGTAATTCTGAACCCAAGTGTTCAGTCTTCACACAATATTACGTATACCTCTCGTTAGTTATTGAATATTATATGCATACCTAAAGTTTGAGAGATCACCATAAATAAAGCTTCCATTTTTGTTCAAAAATAATAATGTTTGACTTTCTAGCCTTTTAAATTTGTTTTTTTTTTTACTAATATTATTAAAGCCATCAAATTATTTCTGTGGTTGAAGAGGTTAGTTACAAACAGTATTTAACAAATAAAATAAAATTGTTACTTTAAGTGTTGTAATTCACAAAACTAAAAAATTTTTTATAATGATAGTTGGCAGAGATTACTTCAAGAAACTATTTTTAGTGTATTAGTTTATGTTTTATAAAATAACTAAACTTATATATATGTATATCTGTCCATATGTATATAATTGCTGTTGTGAATTACAATAAGAAGTCATATTTTATACAACTCGTCTCTCGGCCTGTGAGCATTACACGGACAAATAAATTACGTTAAGGCACCAACTGGTTATGTAAATCTTAAATTAAGCTTATTTTAATCCTCTTACTACCCGGAACTCGTGGAATCGTCAGGTAACTTGCAATTAAAGTTCACTAATTACCCAGCCGTTTGTAAGAGGCTTAAATATAACTTTTAATTTTACGTAATCCAACGAGTTAGCTGTGAAATATATTTCTGTAAAATTGTCTTACCGTGTCACAGTGCACGTAAGAAATAAAGTATTATAGAACATGTGTGTAAAATACTGTAAACGTCAAACAGTCACGAGCGATACTAATTTGCTGTAGAACAATGCACGATGGAGACTGTGAACTCCAGTTGATCGACACTCTCAAACTATTAATAAGAACTTCTGAGTGAAAATAGTACGTCAACCACACTATACCTGCTATATCTAGTACCAAGTCTCTTCGGGCTGGCTGGTATACTAAAGACATAGTAGTGATTGAGACGTTATCTATATTCGAAAATCGCTTGCCAATAACTATTACTGTGTGAATTGTAATTTTACATCAATGTTATTTATGTCACAACACATCAGAATTAGGGTAAGGATTTTTTGACTTGTACACACAGGCTTTGGCCTAATATTATCAACAGAACAACTTTAGCGTTTCGTAGAAACCGATTTTACAGTTTTTATACAGGTAATTTATGCATGTGATATTAAATCATCGCAAAGATCGTTTCTCTAAGTGAAATGTGAAAATTTGTTTTTTCATTGAACTTCACCGAGCGACCATTTCACCAGAAATAATCTGTATGTACGTGTGCTATCAGATTTTAAAAACAACTATGAATCCTATTAGTATGTTGTTGTTGTCTATCAGTTTGTGTTGTTGGACTGTGGATCCAAAAGTCCATGGCTCGCGTTTTGTTACTGAAAAAAAAGAAAAATAAACGCGCTCAACAATTTGAGGCCATAGGTGCGTCATAAGTGTAACGGTCAAACCACACTATTCTATTAGAGTAGCCCAACAGTTAGTGGTGATTTCATTTAAACATGTCCTTAAAATAGCATTTATTTTCAAAAATAAGCAGAATATACATGATTCTTTTAGAATTTATTCGACATTGAGATTAAAAGAATTATTGCAATATTTCCCCAGCTTCTCGTTTTAATGCATTTTTTTTTTCCAAACCGGTTTCAAAGATTGCGTTTAGTTGCGAACTTCTACAATAGTACATTGCTCGAGTTGAACAAATCCAGATAAGAATGTTAACAAATTTCATTCTGTATGGGTTGAATGACAGCTCTAAGATGGAGTTAATGATTTGTCCTTTTGGAATCTAGAAGACGCTTGGCATAAAATAAAACGAAGCGATTAAGTTTAGTGAAACTTAACCCACATTATATCTTACTTTTAATTGCGTACAGTTTATTCGCGAACGCTAAAACATGCTATCCTTGAGACTGTGGGTAAGTAATTAATTTTCTCCAAACTAATTTGAATAAAATTTAAATGGGATTTTACCTTATTGGCATCGCATACATTGCTAAACACACTGACTCGTACATTGTCATGAAAGTAATTTCGGTGTATTAAAACTTAAAAAAGGAGGGGGGAGCAAGTTTTTTCCGAAAATATTCCATAATATTTTTGTTCCTTATTGATTATAAATCTGAAAGGAACCTGCTAACGTTTTACCACCAGGGGTGCAGCTGGCTCGAGAATATACCAGGTGACTTCCTGAGGAAAGCTATTCGCGTTTCAACCTTGATGTACAGATGCCCCCCCCCCCGCCTCCCCTCCGCTGGCTCAGTGGTAAGGCTGGAGACTTATAACGCAAAAATTGGGTTTCAATACCCGCGGTGGGCAAGAGCACATTGTGTAGCTTTGTGCTTAACAACAAACAGTACAGATTTGACCGTAGCTTCAACTTAGGGATGGGTATATCTGTGTGTGTGTTCGCGCGCTACAAAGAGACCAACTAATTCAGAATCTAAAACTGTTTGGCGCAGGCCATCTCCACCTTGGGAAATATGTATTATTATTATTTCACAAAGCTGTTTACGTATACAAAGAAGCACAAAGCGTTAAAAGAAAGTTATATGAAAGGTTCCTCCTATTTCTGAATCTATTACCACATAGGAATTGAACACTTATGTGCATGTCTTGGTAGTGGGGTGGGTGGGTCGATAGATTGAGAAACATATATTGAAAATGGATAGAAAGGCTGGCAGACAGGTGTCTAGAGATATAAATGGCGTCAGAAAGACTGTTGCATGCGGATTATCTATTCCCTACATGTCAAAGAATTCAAGTAGAGTTTGCTACTGAGTATAAGGTGTCGATTTCGTTCTGTTTTAATACTTTTCAATCGACTGCCGCAGTTCTCCAAGAAAAAAAGGGGGGCGAAACTCGAGAGAGTAAAATTTAAAACAAAGAGTTACCTCGGTCGGATAAGTGTCTGTGTGAGTCTTAAAGCCCACGTCAAGTTTTACTAAAATGATACCGGGGCGTGGCTGTAACAGACGCAAACACAACGACTATGTAATTAACAGTTTGCATGTCAGACTAAAGGATTTGCCAATCTGGTTACACAAGTCTACAGTGCTGTGGTATTGAATATATAACACTATATAAATGGACAGCTAGTGTGTGTGCATAGTCCACCTATTGGCGAAAGTCACTACTAATGTTTCTGATATTTATAGATAGAATAGTTAAACAAAGATCCAATGCAGTTCTTGGATTGATTGGTTTGTTAATTGGTGATTATGAAGAAATTGAATAATGCACTGAACAGATCATTGTTTATACCTGTAGCACTTAAATAGGCCTACCACCAATGATAGGACTTTCGACATCGTGGTTCGCTCCGTCATTTGTGTATTACGTTCGATCGATAGATTTTATCAAACGTATATGAACTTAATAACTTTAAACAGTATAAACGTTATCTACAAAGCTTGCCCGTATAGACTAGCTGATAAGAAAAAAACAAACAAAGGCGAACATTGCAGTTTAAAATGAATTAGAAAACTATTGTTACTCCAAAGAAAACTTTTCATTTTTCCGTAAAAGAACCTATGAATTAAAATAAAGGAACCTGGTTATGTATGATAGAGTCACGTTAGAAAAGTAGTATGCACGTCCAGGAAGGAGTCATGATTTTAACATCGGCTTTCAACCTTGTACCAAACGACTTTCAATGCCCGACTCTGGTTACGTCTCCTTTTCATTTCAGTGTAGAATAAGGTCGATTATATAGTTTATAGACAAAGAGAGAATAGCCCAATGTTTATTTCAA